GCAGAGACTATTCCAAATAAGGTCACATTGTGAGGTTCCTTGTAGATGTAAATTTTGTGAGGACACTATTCAACCCAGTATAGTGAGCGTGGATATTTGTGTATATGACAGTGTATGGGAAACTACGGAGGCTATCTCAGTCTCTTTAAGAATGTACATTTTAACTCTTATTGTTGATTTTAACTTTTTGTTAAGTGTGTTTAGTATGAAAATGGGTAAGTTGTAGGAGAAATACTGATTTTTAAAATTCAGTATTGAATAATTATTCTCTGCTATTCCTTGAGAATAAAAAATAAAAATAACCTCCTGAAGTGTTGTTACACTTTTATGGTTCTAGCATTCTAAATTTGTACAAGGCCCAAAAGTTTTTTATTTATAAAAGTATTTGAGCAGAGCATTGTAATGTTTATTCCATTCCTAAGAACACAGTTTAGATCAAGCAAGAGGTTACTTAATACTTGAATAATTTGCTAGACTGTCTTTCACTGGATATATAGCGCAAATAAGATTGAAATTCAACTATTCTTCCACATCCATCTACCATTATCTCAACTATCAAGATGGCACCAAGAAGTTAGCTAATTTATGCCCTCATATCTATAGATTGTTCTGTTTATTAATTATAGAAGTATATAATATTTGCAGAAATTTCTTTTGGTAGTGATTTATAGTAAAATATCAGGTAAAAAATTAGTTCACTCTGGGCCTTTGATTTCCAAAATAACCAAGAGTATGAAATACATTATTTAAAAAATTCACTTGAAGTTTTTCATTCATACTCTGTAAAAGCAAATTGAATGCATATTATCATCCATACTATCTTAGCTGCTAAGATTTTCTAGGGTAATAATAGAAAAGTAGTAATTTCAGAAAGCCACTAAACTATTAGATAAACACTGCTAATAAAATGTGATCTCAAGACTTCCTGATTATTTTCTTAGATAAATCAGTATTTTGCACTTTTTAGATTAGAAATTTTTTTAGAGTTGAATCAAATCAAAACATCTTGTAGCTCTGTATCTGCTTATTATTTTTAGAAATTCATGGTGGCATACTTGATCATAAGATAAAATAAGATACATCATATCTTACTTTAAAAACTAACTTTTGTAAACCAAATACAGATTTAGAATGGAACTCAAGGAAGTATAAATATGTAATCTTTCTAAAAGCTCTCTGTTTAGAGCTTCTTTTTGGCCTTTAGGCTAAAATATTCAATGTTTACTCATTCACTAAACTAATCATTTAGATGTAGTATGTGTTATACATGCACTATACAAAGCACAGAACTGGAATGATAAACCTGACAATATATATGTATATATTTCTCCTTTCAACTTATTGAGCATCTACTGTGTGCAAGGTACAGTAGCAGAAACTTCTGACACAAGGGTAAACAAAATGGACAGTCTTTGCTGTCTAAACTCTTACAGTTTGAAAGGGAGACAAACATTAAATCAGATAACCAGACAAATAAATGTAAAATTATCACCATGAAAAATGCTGTGAAGAAAAGATGAACAGTGCTAGTAGAGCTCATAAGAGGATTCGACCTCGTTTTTGTAGAGACTACAAAGGGACTTAGAGACTTCCCTTAGGAATTGACTTCTGAACTGAGAACCAAATGATTATTGGAAATTATATAGGTGAAGGAGGATGTGAGAATATTCCAGTAAGCAGAAATAACATAATAGGTCATGTACCATAGAAAGTTTAAGTTAAATGAAATAAAAAGAGGCAGTGTGGCTGGAATACAAGGAACAAGAGGGAGTGTGATGCAAGATGAGGTAGGAGAGCACTGGCCAGGGCCAGACCAGTCATGACCTTTTACATTAAGAATTTAAGTCTTTTTCTGAAGAGCAGTGGGAAGGCTTTGAGAAATGTTAAGCAGTGTGGGGATGGCAGGAAAGGGTATGACAAGATCACATTTATTTTCTCAAAGAGTTAATGTTAGAAGGGACTAGAGGGGAAAAAGTGTGAATGAGGGGTGACCAGTTATTGGGCTATTGGAGTAATCCTGGCACGAAATAGCTTGGATTAGGTGAGAAGCAGTGGGAATAGAGAAAGGTGTAAGCCTAAAAACCCACCCTCACTGCTCTCCCTCCTCAGTTATTTAACTCATTTTGAAAACAAACTATGCTGTCTGTAACACAAAGGATCTAGGCTATCCCTCGGGGGATGTTTTATTGTCTCTGAGCAAAAGCGTCCAGTTTGGAATCTAAAAATGTATAATTTGTTGCCTCACCGGTACTGTTCCGCTTGTAAGCTTGCTGTTTCAGAAGTCCAATGATAATTACACATTGATATTTATTGATAATTGTCTTGATAATAATAATACAGTACTCGACAGTGGCCCATTGCATCCTCAGTTTCTGGGGCTATTCTTTCGGGGGATGTTTTACCTGCAAATCAGTGGGAACATAGAGCCTTGTCTCTTATCGAAATGTTTTTTCCCTCTTGGGTATTCTCATTCTACTCTTCCTTCTCCTCCTCCTATTATTATGGCCTCTTTGTTTTAAGAATGTCATGTGATGATGATGCCTTATATTGGCTTATCAATGATATCTTTGTCCTAAGTTCATGTTTTACATAATACTAATTACATAGATATTCTATTATTATCTCCTGAGGAAAAAGCCTTAGGTTACAGTTACGTTGTTTTACATAATACTTAATTACATAGATATTCTATTATTATCTCCTGAGGAAAAAGCCTTAGGTTACAGTTACGTGAACAGGGTCGTATTGTCTTCGAAAGAATTTCCTCATAATTTCCCTCCTGTTCTGCTTTCCACTGAGGTTTGTTGATTGATCCACTCTTCGGTGTAAAACACTGCAAAATGTGAATTTCAGTGATTTGCAATACCTTTACAACAATCTCATCAAGTATTTACAGAAGTGGTGTATGTACCAGATTAGCTTTGGTGAAAGTAATATCGTTACACATTAATTAGTAGTGAAATAAGTAGATTTCACATCTTTCAATTTCAGTAAATTACCCCATTTATTTGGGAAGGATAAGTTTTGATGACACTTTATAAGGATTTTTATTAGAAGTCATCTAAGAATGTATTTATTGTCTACAGCTGAGAACTAAAGAAAAAGAATAAAACTAAACTTTTTTCCTATGAAAATGTGTCAGCCACTCTAGAAACTTGAAAATACATCATTCAGTGAAAAAATGACAAACTTTAAACCAACCTCTGAGCCTTTAAATAATTCAAAAGCCTTGTGCTATCATTTAGTAAGAAAACGGTGGCTCACTTTCTTGAGAGCTAAACCTCCCGTGAGGAGGGCTCATTAACAACTAGAGCTTAAATAGAGAGAAGAGTTAGTTGACTGTGCTTCAGGCTCCTAGAATAAAAGCCCTTCATTTTCTCTAGACATTACCCAAGCAATATCTCTTTTAAGGAGATAATATAGTCTGCTTAAAGATGTTCCTGACTTTTTGGATGAAGCACATCTTTTGTCCTGGATCTACTCTTACCTTCCTGGAGCCTAGCTCTCCTGACTTGATCACTTCTAATACCAACTACCTTCTGAAGCCTGTCTTCTTCCTGATCTTGACTCACTTCTGTCCCAGCTACCTGACCTGAACAGTGCCTAACTTGATATTGGCTATCACTTGTTTTCTTCTAACTCTTGACATTGTAGTCCTCCTCCATGGCTGGTTTCTCAAGAGCAGACTGTTACTTAGTACTGAAACACTTAAAGTTTTTCACGGTAATATATATGATATGTCATGAAAAGTAACATCAGGATATGCGACTAGACCTGTTAATTTGAGAGTAGCGTTATATCTTAAATGTTACTCAGATAGAAGATCTTTAGAATTTTAATTAATTGGACTGAACACATTCTTGACTAAAGTTGTCTGAAGAGTAAAGTTAATATGTAAAAAATGAAATACTTATTATCAGCTCTTCTCCCTATATTGGTCTGGCCAGTAAGACATACTCACGTATTTTTTTAATGTATGGTAGTCACCAAATTCCATATTTAATTATTCTCTTCGGTTTCACCAGCATAAGCCATTCAGGTCCCTTTTTGAATTACTTGCTTTAGCTAAGTAATATTTGCTAATAGAATATTTTAAAGCAGACATAAATATAATTCAAAGCTAATGATATTGCTATAGAAAAACCGGATCTTACATTTACTATTAAACACCAATGCTACTTGAACCAAACCACACATTTAGAATGTATACTGGCAGTATTACATGTAGCAGATTCACTTGTTGATATTAGAATAGTAAATTGACTAGCTTCTGCCTGTATAAGGTGGAAATGGGTACATGATAGTGCCTAAAAAGCTTAATTTTATAATTTACTGGTGTAAAATGAAGTTTATGTGGCAATGAACATTAACTGCCCCAGATGTTCTAGTGTATTAAAATATTTAAATAGAATGTTTAAAAGTTAATGTGAAGAATAATTATAAAATTAATATGTGTAGTTTGTGTGATCTGTTTCATTATTTAGTTGTGGCTTCTGTATCATCACAAATTTAAAAACAATTTCCTAAAATATGGTAGGATTGCATCTTTGTTTTAGAATTCATTAAAATGGTGTATCATGCCTATTTAAGAGCAACTAATGATGCAATGAGGTGTTAGCCCTTTCTGAACCTATAATCCTATGATGTTACCCATATGCAAAAAGAATTTGATGTAAATAGAACACTTGTAAATATGCACAAGTTAGTAATTTACAATGAGCATTTACATTGCACTAGTGAATTCATGTGAACACTTTAATGTATGGAATATTTGTTTTGCAATAGAAGTAGAGAAAATAGAAGTAGACATTTTCACATCTTGAATATGTAATTCTCCATTACTATCAATTCTTTCACCATTTATTAACCACAGAATTGACTAAAATTTATACTCTGCTGTCATAATAGATCAAGGCAATTTACATTTAGTTTTCTTTGTCTTTTTTGTTTGTTTGTTTGTTTTATTCCCTCCACTCCCCAATTATTTCATGGCATTTCAGTGCTTCAGAGAATTTAGATGAGCTCTCTTCTTCCAGTAGCTGGTTACTTAACCAGAAGCACAATAAGAAAAGGAGAAAAGACAGGACAAGATTGAAAACTCCATCTTTGACTATCACGAGTACAGCAGCTCGAACAAGGCCACTTCAGAGTTTCCACAAACGAAAACTCTACAGATTGAGCCCTACTTTTTATTGGACTCCACAGGTAAGGTTGCCTTTGGAAAAACATGAACAAAGAGTTTACCATCAATATATTCCATGTACGAGAGGATATGGATTATACACAGTTATAGAATAATTACATCTAGAAAGCTTTAAATAGTTTATAAGTGATATAATAGGTATTGACAATATATTAAGTGGGATTTAATAATTTTTTTGACATAGTGTATTCTGAAACTTCTCACATCTCCATTTTTAATAAATCCACTGTTATGCTTAATTTAAAAGTAAATTATCAAGGAGATTTTAAGATTTTACTGGTAAGGGTAATAAGGAAAACAGAAGTGTACCATGTACTTGTCTTTCACTTAGTAAAGAAAAAACAAGAGAAAATCTGCACAGCTACATGTTATTTTGGAGAAAATGACATTGCTCTCCTTTTTAGGTTTGATAGAGCACTCCTTTTCCTTTTCCTAGGATATAAGCACAGCAATTTTATATGTCCATGCCTACACTTTTACAAATAAAATACACTTCATTAAAAGCATTTGTTTTGAAAGGTGTATTTTTCATTTTTTAGTAAAACGTTAGGTAAACATTTTTCAGTGTATGCCTAAACAAACTGTGACGATGGGCAAAATAAGTTATCTCTAGTTTTTGTTGTATGATACAATTTTTTTCATACTTTTCCTATTACATTTTTGAATAATATGTTAAAGAAAAGAAATTCCCCTTGATGCTATCATTAAATATTGTTTCTGATTATTACTGCATTAACTGTTTTAAATATATCTGTATAAAAATCAAAATGCTTTGTTTCATTGGGAACTAATTTTAAGTTTGCTTTGATAGGATCTAGTTATAAAGAGGAATGTGGATTATGACAAATTACCTTTTATTAGTAGATTGATTTTTATCATTTAGTAGTTTAGATATTAGTATGCCCTCTTGACTTGAAAATATTTTTTAAAAATTAAGTTTGTTTCAGAATTTTAAGAAATTTTAGATAATTAGCCTAATGGAAAAATATTTTACTTAAAGTTTTTATATATGAAATCATATTTAATGATTTTTATCTAAATTTGTCACAAGCAATAGATAAATAATATTTTTAAATTGATTTTTTAATTTCATAGTTATAAATAGAACTATCTAAAATATTTTATATACAAAAATGCCATGGTATTCTGACTGGAAATGATCTGTTTGAATAATTTAAGAAATTTGTTAGATGTTACTGATACAGGGAGAAACAAGTGTGAGATTATTGTTACTGGTAGACCTTATAATTTATCATGTCCCAGTTACAATGGTAAGCATTTTAAGTACATTATTTAATCCTCAAACATTCTAACTGTGAGCTATTAATCCCCCCTTTAGATGCAGAAATTCAGATTTAAGGAAATTAATTTGTTCAACATCACATAGTTAGTAAGCCATAAGTCTGATTCCAGAGCCCATGTTCTTACCCATGACAATTGGTAACAAAAGTAAATCAAATCTTTTGTGTGCTTGAAATCAGTAAAAACAGCACATCTGGGGACTGGGAAAGGGGCTTTGATGGGCTTTGAAAGATAAAGAGAATTTTGAAAGAGTATGGGGAAGATAAACCATTTTAAGTGAATAGTTGGAACTGGGATGAAAAAAATTATGGAGAATAGCAAATTCCCCTTATCTAATCTGCAAATTTCCAGGATAATTGCTACTTACCATTTTTGACTTAGTAAATGTTGTTTTTCTCAGGAAGCCTTCATTGACATCCCCACTATGAGATATATATTGATACAATACCCTGTGTTGTAATAACAATCCATTATTTTGTAATAATCATTTATTTTTCTGTCTTCTCATTACAAGTTTATAGAAAACAGGGTCTGTATATTTTTAAACCTACAAGGTCTTGAACAGTAATTGTATAATAGTATATGTTTGATAAATAATTGTTTAATGTGTGACAGAATTAATGTAATGGAACAAAAGAAGATGCTTAAAAGGCAGTGGAGAATAAGAACTTATGACTGTGTGTGTGTGTGTGTTTCCTCAGTTTACCTTGTGAAATGGTCTAGAATAGTAATGTCCAATAGAACTTTCTGTAATGATGGAAATGTTCTATAAATGTTTGTGCTGGCCAATATGGTAGCTACTAAATATATGTGCTCTTGAGCACATGAAATATGGCTAGTGTAACTGAGGGACTGAATTTTTAATTTATTTTGATTAGTTTTGATTCAAATAGCCATGTGTGACTAATGGCTACCAAATAGGATATGAGAGGTCTAGACTCAGACTTACCCTGATAGCAGTGTATACACCTGATACTCATTCTTGTTTTTTAATGTCATTTCCTGCTGAAAGGAGCCAGGGATCTTTGGAGAAATGGTTAATCTCTGGGACTGGGGAACAGAGGTATAAGATGAGCCTGGAACATTTAAATGTTAGCAGATACCAAAGGAAGTATTTTTTAAAAAATGATGGGGGCATGTCAGAAAAACCCAGGAGTTTGAAGAGGCTCTCACTGGCCAAATCTGGGGCTTTTTGAGCATCAGAATAAATAAAGATAGTAATGAGCCACTGAAAAAGTAAGAATCCATGAGTCTGCACTGTTCACAGAATGATGGAGAGAGACATAAAAAAGGGAAAGGGAGGGCTTTTCCATATGGTAGAGTGCTGAGTAATAAATGTGGTATAAGCATTATAATTAGAGAATCATTGCAGTAATCATAGTAAGGATTTATTAGGCAAGAATCATCAGTGGTGAAATATTTGAGGTTAGGATCGAGAAGCTTGATGAGGAGTTGCATATTTGTATGGTTTTAACTGTAGGATGGGGAACTAGACAATAACCTTGTCTGAGTGATCAAAACTAACAATGCCTATGAGAAGGGTATAATATCACTTGTAGTACTCTGGCCAGGAATGCATAACCTGAATTTAATTATATGGAAACATTCAGACAAACCCAAAGTCAGAAATATATTATGAAATCACAACTGGCCAATACAGTGTATTCTTTAAATGTCAATGTAGTGGAAACCAGGAAAGGCTAAGGTAACTATTTTAGATTGAAAGAGAGACTAAAAAGATAAATGACAATTAATATATGATTCAGACCAGAGGAAAAAAATTGTTGGGACAGTTGAGGAAACTGGGCTATTTATGGTAGATTATGTAAAAATATTTCATCAATATTGAATTTCCTGAATGTGGTAACATTTGCAGTTATGTGAGAAAATATCCCTTAGTCTAGGAAATACACATACATAAATGGTGTAATGTGACATATTAAGGAGTAAACATGCTAAGGCATGCATTTTATACAATAAATTAACTCCTGTGTATCCAGAATAGTACCTAACATCCTTGGCAGCATTGAGAAATAATTATTTAAATCATTTTCTTTAGCACTTAATTCTCTAATAGAATACTCATTGAGAAAAGCTTATATAAGGCAATGGGAGAGGTGGAGTCTACCTGCTACTAGTTAGTATATAGTAGGTGGTAGGCTGGGTATCACTTGCATTGCAACAACTACATGTATAAATTACTGGAAACATCTTCATACTATTAAAGACGTTAGCAGGACTTAAGGTTTCAGCTCCAACATGTAAAGAACTTGAAAGTTGTACTCCTGTCCTTACACGAAAAAGGGGAACAAAGTGAAAATCAATGCTTTTTCATGGACTCATCAAAGAATTGAGATTGCAGGGCAATTGCCATCCTGATATATGCAGAAACAGGCAAATCCAGAGAGTCACAGCTAAGTGGCCATAAACTAAGTGGTAGGAATACTTAAATGGTAAATTTGATGAATTGCTTGGGGATGAATGTAGACTAGCTTAAAAGTGAAAATTTCTGGGAACTACAGCCTTAGGTAGGCCACACACATTCCTGGAATTTATTTCCAGGCACCCCACTAGGTTCTTGGAATGAAGAACCAAGAGAAATCCCTAGTGGCTGTGGTATGGAAGGGGAGGGGTAACCTTTATGAAATAAACCCAGAACATTTTCTTTGATAAGATTTTTCACAGGCAAAGATTTTACCAGAGCCTTTTTTGACCTGGGATAGAAACGTTTCTTCCACTCCTGCCTGCTATAGTCTTTCTGTCTCACCTGAGATGGATTTGGGATAGAAAATGAGAAACACTCATTTTCTGTTAATGTTAGGTATTAAAATCACAGACCAGGGACACAGACCCACTAAAAGACTGAGTACTAATCATAAGATTATAGCAGATTATGCTACTATAGTAGATATGCTTCCTCTCCCTGACACTTTCCTATCACACCAACAGGACAGTAGTACAGTAACAGTGGGTTATAGCTACAAAGTATAGACTTTTCTGAGAAGGAGTACTTAAGGAAGTCAGAAGTTAACAGCGGAGACAAAAACAAGGACACTAGAGGAATTTGAGGCCTTTGGCACCTACAACTATGGCAGACACAGCCCAACTCTTAATCATATTAATGTAACACCTCACAATAAAGGCCTTTTTACATCCAGTCCTGTTGCCTGGTCTATCATGTACAGCTTTCAACAAAAAATTAGAAGGTTTGCTAGGAAGAACACACTCTGAAGAGTCAGGGGAACCATCAGAACAAAGTTCAAATATGACAGATGTTGTATTCTCTTAAGTACCTATGATTAATATGTTAAATTCTTTAATGGGTAAAGTAGAAGACATGCAAGAACAGATGGTAAATGTAAACCAAGAGATGGAAATTCTAAAGAAGAATCAAAAGTAAATGCGAGAAATTAAAACTGTAACCTAAATGAAACATGCCTTTTGTGGACTCATTATTAGATTGGACATTGCTGAAGAAAAAATCAGCAAGATTGGATAGGTCAATAGAAGCCTCACAAACTGAAATGCACAGCGAAAAGATAATGAACAAAACAGAACAGCACATCCAAGAACTTTGGGGAAATTTCAAATGTTGTTTCAGATGTGTAATTGGAATACCAAGAGGAGGAAAAAAAGAGAATGGAGGAGAAAAAATATTTGAAATAACAATACATGAGAATTTTCCAAAGTTAATGACAAG